TGTATGTGGCTGGCGCCCTACCCACTGAGCAACGGGCACCACCCTGAAAAGTAAACATATTTTTATTCAATGTCCTACTTTTTATAAAAATTGTTTCCTTAAAATATTTTAATGTTTAAATATTCTAGAAGTAATAAATGCCATATTGTAATATCTATTTAATGTTTAGCTTTTATTATTTAAATTTCTTATATGCATTATTATTTAGTTAGTTTTGAGACAGGGTCTTACTTTGTCACCTGGGCTAGAGTGAAGTGGTCATCACCGTAGCTCACTGCAACCTTAAACTCCTGGGCTCAAATGATCCTCCTGCCTCAGCCTCCCAAGTAGTTAGGATTATAAGGCCCCCACCAGGACGCCTAGCTTTTGCTCAGGGTGGTTTTAAACTCTAGAGCTCAAATAATCCTCCCTCCTTGGCTTCTCAGAGTATTAGGATTATAGGCATGGGCCACCACACCCAGTCTCCTATATTCATTATTAAAAATTCATTATACTTTCCACTAGAAGATAATCTACATTAAAAAAAATTCATCCTTAATTGTGTTATATGAAGGAAAAATCTACTCATCATAATTACCAACATAAAAAAGGTAATAAAGAAAAGATGTTTTCCAAAGGACAAAAGTCTTTTAAAATATACATACATTAAAAAAAATACTCAAGGTTGGGCATGGTATCTCAAGCCTGCAATTAGCACTCTGCAAGGCCAACATAGGAGATCACTTGAGCTCAGGAGCTGGAGACTCACCTGAGCAAGAGTGAGACCCTGTCTCTACTAAAAATAGAAAAATCAGCCAGATGTTGTGGCCGGCATCTATTTATTATCCTTGCTACTTGGGAGGCTGAAGCAGAAGGATCGCTTGAACCCAGGAGTTTGCAGTTGCTGTGTGCTAAACTGATGCCATCGCACTTTAGTTTGGGCAACTGAGTGAGAATGTCTCAAAAAAAAAAAAAAAAAAGAATACTCGATCACTTTTTATTGTAGCATTACTTCTCACTATGGCCAGTTAGATTAAAGAAAGCCTGTGACCAGGTGTTCATAAAAAAGGACACTAGGTTTTTATGTAACAGATATTACTGGTAGGCTGAAGGCTGGATTCCAGATGATCTCTCAAAGTACCTTCCATCCCTATCATTCTAAACTATTTGCTTTTTGCACATAATGGCAGAATTTTTTAGAGACAAATTATAAAAAGGTGACACTAACATTTATCAAGTTTAAGCTTCAAGGGCAGCAGATACTCTAACACTAAAAGTTCTGTAAATTGAGAAAAGGCAAATTTTCTGTGCCTTTACCACTGAAGAATGAAATACTTCAATGAGTTGTTTCAGAATTTAATTACAAAAGTCAAGTCCAGAGATAGTCAAGCAATAAGATACAAGACAATTCTTTTCAGTCTTAAAGAACTGACATTAATAGGCCGGTGCGGTGGCTCATGCCTATAATCCTAGCACTCTGGGAGGCTGAGGCAGGTGGACTGCCTGAGCTCACAGGTTTGAGACCAGCCTGAGCAAGAGCGAGACCCTGCCTCTAAAAATAGCTGGGTGTTGTAGTCCTAGTCACTCGGGAGGCTGAAGCAAAAGAATCACTTGAGCCCAAGAGCTTGAGGTCGCTGTTAGCTATGACACCATGGCACTCTACCAAGGGCGACAAAGTGAAACTCTGTCTCAAAAACAAAAAAAAGAACTGACATTAATAGGTAGCAGAATACTGAGCCCTTGATATTTTGTCCTTGGTGATTTTTATATTATCAATTCAAGTGAACATAACTAAAGGCACATAAAATATACAATTCTAATACATGTAAAAATAATTATAAAAGAAAAAGTCATTTGGACATCCTTTGATTTTCTATTCTAGAAATGTTTCAAGTTTCTGAGTCATTTATCTGCCTTTAACTGTAGCATTTTATACACTAGTATCTCAAAAATATTGTTAATAGGGCAGTGCCTGTGGCTCAGTGAGTAGGGTGCCAGCCCCATATACCAAGGGTGGCAGGTTTGAACCCGGCCTTGGCCAAACTGCAACAACAACAAAAAAATAGCCGAGCATTGTGACGGACACCTGTAGTCCCAGCTACTTGGGAGGCTGAGGCAAGAGAATTGCCTAAGCCCAAGAGCTGGAGGTTGCTGTGAGCTGTGATGCTACAGCACTCTACTGAGTGCGACAAAGTGAGACTGTCTCTAAAAAATATATACGTTTTATTAATATTTAAAAATCTACAAACCCAAAGTATAACTCAAACTCATAAAACTTTCTTGATGAAATAATTTTAAAATGTCATTTTTACCTTCATAGCATTAGGTAAGTATCTAAAAAAATTTCAGTGTAATAAATGACTTTTCTCATAAGCATCCTTTGCCTCTGTCCATCTAACCTAGCTGATTTAAAGTGAGCACTGGTGCAGAATAATTTATTTCTTTATTTTTTTAGAGACAGAGCCTCAAGCTCCTGTTTTTTTTTTTTTTTTTTTGCCATGTCATCACTTAAACATCCCATTAAAGCCTGAGGGTAAGAAAGCTAATAACATTCAAATAAGTTAATTATCTTTTTGTGGTAGCAGCACATCTACAAGGCATGGGTGGAGACAGAGTTTCACATTGTCATTCTGGTAAAGTGCCCTGACATCACAGCTTACAGCAACTTCAAACTCTTGGGCTTAAGTGATTCTCTTGCCTTTCTCGAGTAGCTACAGGTGCCCGCCACAATGGCCGGCTATTTTTAGAGATGAGGGCTCACTCTGGCTCAGACTATCCACCTGCCTCGGCCTCTCAAGTGCTGGGATTTCAGGTGTGAGCCACCGCGCCAGGTTGAAGATGAAATTCTTAACTAAAATGAGATTTGAAGTCTGATACTTTAAATTCAGAAAACTGGTTCAAGGGAATGAATGCTAAACAAAACTTCTGTCTAGCTTACTTTTATGATATTCAGAGAGAAACCATGTTTTCTAAATCTTTTATTGTTGGTATTAAGACATCAACTCATTTGCTGTATAGAAAATGATTTGAATTATATAGTAATTAAAATAAACCACATGAGCCAGGCATGGTTGCTCACACCTGTAATCCAAGCACTTTAGGAGGCTGAGGTGGGTGGACTGCTTCAGCTCAGAAGTTCAAGAGCAGCCTTAGCAAGAGCAAGACACCCCATCTCTACTAAAAATAGGTAAACTTAGCTGGGTATTGTGGCAGGTGCCTGTAGTCCCAGCTACTCAGGAATGTGTAATAAATTCACCATCAACTGAAAAATTTATTCTATTGGTTCTATTCTATTGGCTCTTACCTAAAAATACAAGTTTCTGATGTTAAAATTAAACCTGAACATGTTTTCTCTGAATTATTTTGCTAATCTTGTACTTTTTATTGCCAGTGATACCTAAGAAAGGTATAGCAATTTTAAGTGCTAAATTTTTACTTAGTTTTTAAAGAGAAAAGCATACATAATAACCCCAACCAAAATTATATATTGGAACAAAATTATTCTGATAATTAAGTTATTAGCAATTTTATACTTCTATGCGTTTTTAACTGTCTATAGTTAATTTGTTTGAAAAATATAGTTGTTGGCTTATAATAGATTTTTATGGAACTAAAATTAAGTTTTAAAATTTAAAGTCACAATGATATAACTTCATTGG